AGAAATGACTCACTGTTGAATAATCAACTGTTTACTCCACCAAACTGCATGTAATCAGACTGCCACAGTTTTTCTGCTTTATTGTAAGATGTAGCTTTTAAATGTCAGTGCATCAGGAAGAAAGGTAAACTCCTTGGGTGGCTCAGATCTCTTTTTATGCATGTGTTTAAAGGCAGACAGTCTTCTGGTTGTCAATGGAGAAAAAAGCTACTGAGCACATCAATGGAGACATATAATAATGAAATAAGGAAGGGAAATTAGCTGAATATGAAAAAAATAAATCCTTTCTTGAAGTGGAACAGGAAAAGGTTTTCTCAGGGATACCAGAAGAAGAAAGAACAATTGATGTGAGGTTCTGGTTTGATTGTTTCATACATCCCAATCTAGTACCCATCCTGCAAATAATGTCATCATCTGGGAAATCTTCAGTCAATCATTTATCTAGATATAATTTACTTTTTTCAAACTACATTCTTTGGCCTTTTTTGGTTTTGCTTTTAAAGAAGGTAATTTGAGGGTGCTTGTGCTTTCTCTTGCTTGAAGAAACACATGTTCAAATGTATCTTGTCTAGCAAGAGGAACCTTCCGGCTGGAAGAGCATCTCACTCTTCTGACTACACTGGGGGCCCAACGGTTATAATTTGTTATGGGTCTAAAGTTCAGCTCAGGACACAAATCCAGACCAAAAAGACTTTGGTCTCTTTGAGGCCTTTCTCCAATACTCACTGTGTACATTGGGAGCGAGCCCAGTGCCTTATATGGCTACTGGTTTAGCCCTCTTCCCTGTTTAAAGGGCAGGAGAAGCAGGGTTGAGATCTAAATCCTGGATCACACCCAAGTTCTCTCTAGTTTCTTTGTGAAGGTCTAGCACCAACATGTGTGATCAAGGCGCTGTCATAAAAAAAATAATAGATTATACATACTCCCACTGAGTGGATAACCTCTCATGGAATAGAGAAAAACTCACTCAATAAAAGCATGAAGAATAGTTGAGTAACAGCTGAGCTTCTAAAAGTTCTTGAAGTTGGAGTCTCCCATGGTAGATGCACTACTGAGAAGCAGACATCGCCGTTTTACAGGTATGCTCTAACACAGATGTCAAGTCATGAACTTGCTCTTAAGAGCGAAAATCCATTGTATTCAGACAAGAAGTAGCTCTGAGACAGGAAAATTTCAAAAGGTCCTGCTACCCAGACAAAAACATAGCAGATTGTGGCTGTTCCAGTTAATCGCTTGCACAGTTAATACTGTCCTGTTCTTCTATCATTATGAGTGTTAAAGTCACTTACTGTAGATCACTATTTAAAAAGAAAAAATTCCAATAGAATTAAAGTGCCAGCTTTAAAAATCAAACTGACTACATTTCTAAATCACTTCTTGTCTTACAGACCCTAGGTTACATTCAGAATCTTTATCAGATTCTCCCCTCCTCCTTCTAATAATATTGGATTATGATGGACTATGTTGGATTGACTGTGCTACAGTTACATAATGTTGTCAAGTGAAAATCAGGTCAAGTGCCCCATTTGGGCATCCATGCTACTTGCTCCTGCAAGTCCTGTGTACCAATTTTTTTAGGTTTAAAGCCACATTTATGTTATGGCAAGGTGAGCTAACTTAGAAGGAAGAAGGTGTAATGCCTAAGCAGGACCTTACTGGCCTGTGCATAGTGGATGCAAGTAACACTTCTTCAACCTCAGAAGCTGATGTGCACTCATTGGCAAGCCAAACAGCAGCTGTGGTGCAAGCACAGACCAGCTCCTAACTATCCCATTTCAGCTATGCTGCCTCTGAATGGCATATCATGCTGTCATCCTAGCTGTACAGATGTAGCCCAGAAATCACAGGAAGTGCTTCTTACAAGGAAAGATTATGCAAGTCTCAAACAATGTTTAGCTCTGGCTAAAGCTATCAAAATCCTTGCTTCCAGCCAGAGAAGTCTTCAGTTCAGTCCCCAAGTCAGAAAGCAATCAGCCCTGCAGTCCCCTGAGGGTTTGCTGGGGAGTGGGTAAAAGGAAGCCCTTTTGTGCCTTTTTACCAGCTCAAGGTAAAAGCCTAGGCAGTAGTTAGTGATGAAGAGTAATAGTTGAGATTCTACCCAGTAATTGAAATTCTAATTTGTGCTGACTAAACAAGAATGAGTTAGCCTTTTCATGGGAAATGTACTATTACAAGTAGACAGTTGTAACTGCATGGACATTTTAAATGTAGAGGCAGTGAGTGGAAAGCGATCAATCCTGGCTTCAACACAAATAAGATCTCCAACTGTGTTTATATAGATTGTCCTCTGTACCAGTCTACGTATATGTGATGGTGTTGCACAATCTATGACCCTGAACAGTCCTATATCACCATATTCTCCTTGCAGAAGAATTAACCCTCTGCAAGAGCAGTTCAACTCTGGGTCTGTGCATCAGGGAAGGACATACTTGTTCATGCTTCCTGGGCTGAATTAGAAATGTTACGTGGCTTATCTTACCAATTGCAAGGAACCAGCACAGCGCAACTAGCAAACACTGAGCATTCACAAGCACACTATATGCAAACAACTTAACAGTTAACATTAATTAACAGTTAACATTAATTTAGCATATTTCATTAGCATACAGAAGGAAATTGTCTCTTCACAAACATTTTACAACTCACTAGAGGCTAGGTTTCTTGACTAAGCTCTTCCTTGCAAATTCTCACCAACATTTAGCAGTCATCCCCATTAGTTACTGTTTTGTGGGAGAATGAGTACGCATTCCACAACCAGCAGTTTCTCTTCTCCACTCTCCCACATTGATTATTAAATCGTTTGAGATACATTAGCTAGGAGGATGTAAGCTTTGCATCCTTGTAGCAGTTTCATTACAGCTTCATTTGGAAACCTTGCATCTTTGTAGCTAGAGGATTCAAAATCTTTGATGTGCATTTGCAGCCATATCAGCTAAGTAGTCAGTTCAGACTCTAATAGAAGGCACCATCTACATTAAGGATCTGTATCGGCATATAACTTTACTGATTGTACCATCTTTCAGCACGTCTGTAGAGAAGCCCTGTGAGGATCAAGCCATGCTCAACATGGGTATGGGTGGCAGAGTCTCACTCTTAGGAAATAATTATTTCGTATCAGCTAGCCAAATATCTCAGTAGTTTAAAAAGGGTCCTGAAGTTGGACAGCTTATTCCTTTTCCAGCAAAGGCTCAATTATACATAGCATTCAGTTGTGGCACCTCATGGAGTCAGGCCCTTCATAGCAGCAGAGTTTTCTGTCTGGCCCACGAGGATTTCAGAATTGCTTACGTACTCACTCAGCTGAAGGACTGAAGAGAACAGGGCATACCAGGGAGTCCAGTAGCACATTAGAAGCTTCGAAAGTTAATTTTCATTAAGATTGTGACCACTTACTACTTAATGATATGAAACAGTACATGTGATATGAAGTAATAAATATATAGGGAAAAAAATGCAACTGGAACCTTTCAACCAATCATTGCCTATTCTCTCTGCAAAATTCTGCTTAAGCACAATTTGTATATACAGAGATGCTCCACAGTGGGAATATTTACACTATTATCACTATTTCTATGCCCTAATTAAATTGTGGAAAAAACAAACCAAAACAACTTTTTAAAAAATTCTATGAATTCTTCTTATACATTCTGAAGGAGTTATCCTAAAAGGACCCTTTCAGAATTTCCTGGCTCAAAATTTGATAATTCATGTTTAGCTTGATTAACTATGATTAAACTATTCAGTCTTTAAAAAACAAAAAACAAGGAATTCAACATTTGGGAGAAACCCTACAACAGCAGCATACAAGACCTTTCAAACTGCAATATATAATTTCTCTTAATTACATCAAATGTTAAACTAATTGAGTATGAAAAATATCTCAGCTGAGCACTTTACAAAGGCAACACTATAGTTTATGAACTATACACAGACACACAAATTAAATTAAATTTTTAAAGAGCCTATTAACACCACCACTTTGGAACAGTGTTTCTCTGCCTTCCTCTTCTCCAGGAAAGCTTTGCTAGGCACCCTTCCCTTTCTCAGGCTTTTCCCAACTGTTCCCTCTATTTATCCATACCTTCTTCCTGGTTTTTGAATGGTCCTCACAGTGGGGACCATTTCTGCAAAATGGTGCAGAGGTAGCTTCCTACAATTGTGCTGGGAAGCCACAGACCTCACCAAAGTTGTTCACATGCTTTAAGTTAGGGCCATAAGTATTGGGGATTGGCATTCAAGAGAGTCCCATGAAGTCTGACAAACAGTGCCTTGAGTTTTTATCAAAAGTCTGTATCTGGGTCATTTATGATGATTGTATTACCATTTTTGCATTTCACTGGGCTTTGTCAAGATCCTGATAGCTAATGCTTTTTTGACTATCATACAGTTTTCTTTCTGGCTTTCATATTGAGCCATCCTGGTTGTATAGAACACCCCAAAGGGAAAGATGTAAATCCATAAAAGATAATAATCCAGCCCTATTTATTTTCTGCAGGCAATGTTTTTAGACTTGGATACTACAACTAACCTCAAAAAATCTGTGTGTGGTTGGCTAAATTGAAATAAGATGTCTTACATGAGTACTTGCAGGTACCACTCTCTTCAATGGGAGTAGCAGATACTACCTCAAAAATTTACATCTGATAGTGGATTTTGCCATCCAACTTTAGGTACTCAGATTGAGAATTTTGGCCCTAATGTTTGTTGTAACCTTAGATTTGGGTCCAATCCACCTGGCAGTGTCCCTTTAAGCTGGAGCTTCCCCATAACTGCATTCTGATTCTGAGATGTTTAGGATGCTTTTCACATACTACAGTTTCTGAAGGTCAGTGCATACACATTTTAAGACACAGTGATAAGACAGTGTATGGAACTACTTGGCAGTATTTAGCTGGTACAGTTTCTTGTGGAAACAACAGAATTCCAAAACACACCACACTGAATGCTTATGGGTTATTACAAGCAAAAATCCCAAGATACTGGGAATTAAAAAGCGGAGTTCAACAAAGGAACACTGATATCATTGGTTGATATGAACAAAGTTGTGCCAAGTCTTCCTTCTTCGCTTTTTCAAGTGGAGAAATAAACTGGGAAAGGAAGCAGAAGGGAAAAAAAAACAAACAAACCAAGTTATTACAGAGTTACTGTTGCGCTTTATCTCACAGAAACATGTGCTGTCAGAGGATGGCAAACACCTTTAGCACAGCTTTACTGAAAGAGGATGACACGTCTGGCACACAGTATGCCTTCCTGACCGGAATGGGGCTGCTCCTCCTGCTCTGAACAGGAGGAAACTGGAGTGGAAAGCAGGAGAGACTGCAGCTCGAAAGATAGAGGGGGCAAGGACTGATGGTGATATTAGCTGCCATCCTCAGCTCCAGCAACACCTGCAGTCCCATGTGTTGTAACACTTTCTTCAGCAGGGAGCCAGCCTGCTTTTCCAGGGCCCCACTACCAGGCTGGTAGGTGTCCTAGCTTGGGCCATTTCACCACCCATGTCAGCTTGCTGCTGCGAGGTACCATCCAATTTATCTGCATCTGTAGCCAGCCCTGCATGGAGGGTCTGCTCTTGTTCCCATTCAAATCAGTGACTGGAGAAGCCATGCAGGCCTTGTCTGTGGCAGCACTTGGGACACTTGATGTCAACAGGACATAAACATGTACTTGAGAGCTACTGTAAATAAATACGTCATTGAGTTCAATACACAGGGTCCTTCTTGAAGATGCAACCTTTAGGCACTATTACAGAAGGATCAAATAGACTAAAAAAAAATAATTTAAGATCCAGAGCTTAAATATATTTACATTTTGCCAATCTTGCGTTAGATCTCACTAAGGTAAGCCATGACCTGGGTTTGATGATGTGACACTCAAGTTTGTGATTAAATATCCTAAACCCAACCTAAGCCATGTCAAACCTGCTATTTCTGTTTCTAAACTTACCAGGAGAGGCATTCACATCTAAAGCCAGAAGGGAAACAATGTTATTACCTATCTATAATTTCAGGCTTAACTTCTAAGGAGAAATTATGAGCTACCTTGTCTGCTTTTTACTTTCTTTTTAAGATACACATAATACTCAGTGATGCATATATACACAGCACATCTATCTTCCCAGGTTGCTGCTCTAGACTGCAGAACAAAGGCTTGTCTTTCCCTTGAAGCCAGTTGCCTTGAGTACCCAGTTAATATAGTTAATTAATATCTAGCTATTTCCCATTCTTGCCATATCAGTGTTACGAAACCCTAGAATTATTCTGGGTCACTCTGGTCCCAGCATTCATAAGCGTAATAAACTGCCACATGTATCTCAATCCATTTAGTCATGTTTACAGGTGATTCTGTAAGCCTTCTTTACAGAAGCAACAGAGAAAAATCGAAACACGCTGAATGCAAGACATGTAATTCGAGAGCTGGGAATTAATTCACATCCACAATCTAGCCTCCTGGTGAATCTCTTCTGGGTTACGAGCTGGATTGTCTAACTCAAGAAATCTCCCTGTTAGGAGTTAATGCCATATTACAGTTATGTCACATAACGGTTGTTGCTAACACAGAGGTTACATAAATAAAATGTGCGGTTCCTGTCATTACAAGAACCCTGGCTCCCAACCAGCACGACTGCTATTATTCATTCATATGCTATCTTTCCAATAACAAATGTGTGGAATGAGACAAGAAATCAGTAAGACTTTGGGCCATCTTTTAACAATATTTAGATATTCAAGATGCAAAGGGATTTTCAGAAGCACCAACATCTCAAAACCCAGTTGATTTGGTGGGAACTAGGCACCTACATGCTTTTAAAAAATTCATCAGATGCCCGTTTGCCTGTGGGCCTTCACCCTCTTGTTATAGGCATGAGGTAATTCAAGCATTACTGTTCTCACCAGGACTGTGGCACTTGTAATGAAAGGAAGATATCTGAAACTGCATAAAAATTTATATAAACATGAAAAGGGAGAGTCTTTAATCCTAGGGAAAGTTATGTAACATGCTAATGTAAAATACATTAAATGTCAACAAATTCTACCTATATAAGCGTCCAGAGAGTTTGCAGTAATTCTCACTATAACAGCATGACACTAGAAGGGGAGTTTCACAAATTAGTCAGTTTAAATATTGTATATCCATTTTTCGTTAATATATCAGCACTTAAGTCACAGAGCTATCAAGATCATAAACAAAAGAGAAAATTAATTACTCACTTATAATTATAATGAGAATGACTGCGCATACTACACCAAGGATGATCATCATCTGTAAAAAGAAAGTTATGAGAAAAAAAAAAAGATAAAAGTCAGTTTTTCACATGAAAGACATTAATCCCTCAGCTTTTTGCTTTTACTTAGTGGCTCATTCCTTACACTTTTAATTCTTGCATAGACTCACTGCAACAGAATTGTTAAGGCCCCAAATTTAGTGTCAATTTTAGGAACAGCTGACCACCAGCAATGGGCATAGCCTCTTGTCAAAGCTAGCAAGTTCTTGCCCATCTGCTAAGATGCAGTGAGCAATCTCATCCATTACCAGCAGTAACGAAAAAGTAAAGTTCTGAAGTAAAACAACTGTGATTTAAGTGGTTGGATTCACATGTGGCCATGTACC